GAATAATGGATTTGAATCCCTGCTTAAATCGACTGGTCACACTTCATTCATCAGTTAGGATCCCTTATGAGAATGGCCATTATAGCCCTGTTTTACACAAGGACCCTCAATTGTCACACCACCACATTAAATTTCCCTCTAAATTCTACGTTTCGACTCTGTATACTATTTGTCCGACAAAGAAAATCATTCACATTATTGAAAGGCATTACCATTTGCATGATTCATCTACAATTACTAGCCTCATAAAAGGCTTTCTCGAATGTTACCATTTTATGAATGTCTAACAAAATGATAGAATGTTAGAGGCCTAGGCAAAAACAAATTTCCTGACCTTTTTGTTGTTCTCGGGCCTGATTATATAAATTAGCTTACCTCAGCTGGCAGGCTTATGAACACAAAAGTGGCGCTTGAATAATTGGCCTAATTTAGAAGCAGTAATAGTTTGGGAAAATATTTTCACTACAAAATGTCATCTAATCAGTTTGGTAGTTAGTATAAATAGATCTTTAAGTGCATGCTAGCCTGTGTGCGCTGCATCTATAAAATAGTGGTTAAGCTAATGAGATTCACATGTAGTGGAGATTGGGCGGTACCGCCTCCTCAATACATGGCCAGGCGATCACACCGGATTGCTCTGGGTTCGACAGATTCCAACAACGTATTCGTGCATCTGTCCCAGCCGACAATATAGTGGGTAGGCCAAACGAGGCCGACGCATTGATGGAGTGGGCATAGCGACTATCCGATGCGGAAGACCCATGAGGTGCTGAACCTGATGTCTGCAAAATAGATGCTGATGGAGGCAAGCAGAGAATGGCTTTTGTTGCACGAAGTGGATAAGTTGCTGATATTGAGATGAATGTTGCAAATAAAACATAAAGTTGTAAGTAAAGTGTCACATGGGAAAACTTAAATAATCTAAAAATCTCTACGTTTAACAACAATAAACAATTGCAAACCTAAAAGAGGATTCAGCACTTCTCCATAATAGTAGATATGAAGAGCAAAATGGGGTGACCTTTTGTTTGGTCGCAGTCTCCTTTAACTGTATAGTGTTGGTCTGAACGTGTTTTCGTAACTTGGTCGGAGCAGTAAGGAGACCTAGTCCTGTGTACTCTGTCAAAGTATTCATTTCCAGCACCGGACTGTTGACTTGGTATAGTCCCAGACGTTTCGCAGGCATTGTAATTGAGGGGCACCATCGTTAGCACGGAGTTATAGCTTATCAAAGTGACAAGCGAAGGCAATCCCCGAGGAGTGATGTCATACCGATTAAACAAAAAAATTATCAAGGGGATTGCCTTTACTTTCATTTTGATAAGTTGTAACTCTATGCTAACGATGGCGCTTCTCACTGACGATGCTGATGAAATGTTTGGTAATGTACCAAGTCAACAGTCCGATGCTGGAAAGCATCATGAATACTATGGCAGAGTGCGTAGGACTAGGTAAAAACTTTAATCAGAAAATTGGAATACTACCAGCAAACCCATTGTATTCTGGTTCATTCCTCAAATAGCAGGGTTATAAGAAATATGGTAATTAGGTAAATGAAATATTTTATGTATAACATTAAAAAAATATTATTTAAGAAATATGAAATACTACAAGACAGTCTTAATCTCTTTGATTGTTGTTTCAGTTTTAACTCCTTTTTCTGTTCATATCGACCAAAGCCGGCTTTTACGTTTAGTAAGTAAGCAGAGTTCAGCTCACTCACTATTCAGTCACTAGTGAGTGATTATTCTATATTTTTTCTTACCATGTATATCAAGTCATGTTCATCCAATGTGTCACCAATGTTCCCGCAAAACCCTGACGAGCTCACCTGTATTTCGGGTGCCTTGTCATATACCCTTACTCATTACAAAAAGACTGCAGCACTTTCGTAGAAATTCGCTTTTTATAGACAAAGCAACGTAAGAGAAAAATAGTTCCGTGTCGAAAAAACTCCTTTTTCCTTTCAATTAAAGTCACTGCCCTCGAAATCAGAGCAAACTTCGGCATGTAGAAGGAATATTCTATGCCAGTCGGGATTTGGCCGTCACCGCAAAGAACTCCGGATGCAATAACATGAATGGCAAGACAGACTCTAAACGACAGCAGCAACTAAGAATGGGCTTTTGCCATTTCGAATCATAGACTGCAGTATCTTGAAACAAAAGCAAATACCTAGGAATACAGCTTTCATTTGTATGATTTTCATAAAAAAATTATTTTAACGCACAAAATCGCATCCTTGTCATGCTAAATTTTTCAATATTAGGTCTGGAAGTATTTATCTTCAATTAAATGGTGACATTTGATCCTAGTTGTTTAAGTAGGATATGTATTCTTCAAAGAGTAGGCAATAAAAATTTGTTTAGAGTCCACTAGATCCGGATTTCACACATAAACTAAACTATTGAATCAATGAAACCAATAGGATTCCCATTATAAATAGTACGGATTCTCCACCGAGGGCCGTTTAAGTGCTGCTTGAAAATCAGGTTAGAAACCTAGCAAATGCGACGATAAGACGAGTTGAATTTTAGGTAAAAAAATCTTTGGAACTTGCAAAGAAATGGATTGTGAATCCTTATAAGCAAAATTTGTAATTTATCTGATTGAATCGTAAAAATAAAGACCAAGTTTTGGTCGAAATGAAAAGAATATCTTGGGCAACATTTACAGTCCTGTGTTCTCTGCAATAGTAGTCATGATAATTTCCAGCAGAGCCATTGACTTGATTCATTAATAGTTAGAACGTGTGGCTAGTCTCACCGAAAATGGTTCTCCAAAGAATTGCTTCTCACTCATGCCAACCTTTTGAGAACCCTTGTATTGAGAACTCCAATTTGCCATTTAGTATATCCTCTCGCCCCCACACCTTTCCATTGCATTACTAAAGATCCAGAAGTCCTGCCTCCCTGTATAACTGCCATAGTAGATAGTCATTAATTCCCTTATACAGTATGAATCTGACTTAGATCTAGATCCTGAAATTCACGTCCCTAATAATAGCCTATTAAAAGGATTTATTCTATGAACATATGTGACCAAAAATGGACCAACTCCTGTCAGCTGGAGCTGGTTCCTTGATTTAACTCTTTTTATTGCAACTGCCTTCACTTGTCCATAAAAATAATCTTCCTGGAGATGTCCTTTCCTACTGAACGATAGATCTCCCAGATCAAAGTTTCTACCATTTTCTTGTATTTTTATCATATTAGACCATTCTCTTCTTTGAATTTCAGTCAATATTGTGGTCGGCCCATATCAAGAAATCTTCGATCTTTCCGTATCCATGACTCTGCTGAATTCCTTTAATTATTATGTTTCTCCAATATAATTGTGCTCACAGACTTTGCAGATGAAAGACTAAACTCAAGAGAAATTCAATTTGTTAATCTCTTCATGTTGTGTAGGTAAGCCAAAGAATAGTGGTATCCATTAGTTCATATATTACGAATGTTCCGCTTCATAAATATATATATGCAGAGCTGCCTTAATATTCGCTATCACGTCCTTCGTTCGCAGATAATATTTTGCTATATTCCAGAGAATATTTATATTTATTGACTACGCATCACTAAACACACTTGAAGGGCCACACAGTTGGAAAATGTAGAACAATCAAAGATACTGCAAAGGTTAGATAAAAAACTTGGCCATGTTAAGTATGATTAAAAGATGGGGATAAAGCCCTAAGAGCTAAGACAAAAGGTGACGAGAGATGCCACAAAAGTAAAACCGAAATTTTGCCAGGATTGCCTTCTCTTGCTAATACAATGCGATTTAACTTGGTGCTAAGGGCGACGCCTCTCATCAATAATGCAAACTGCATCATT